CCTCAGTCAGTGATGGATGAGGAGTTGAGGGGTCAGTATGGCAGCTTCCTCACCCCTCAGGTGGGCCAACTTGGAGGCGTGTTCTGCTGTGCTTCAGAGGTCCAGAGTGCCTCCACAGGGTCCTGCCCCAGCTGCCCACAATGGTAACCAGCTTGATAACACCCACTTTATTTTTTCCATCCCTTTCCCATCTCACTTCCCTGTTCCCTGCCAACATTTCCTAGAATCACCACCCAAATAAACTATTTGTGGTGAAATCCTCATCTTAGGATTTGCTTCTGGGGAATCTAAACTAAGGCTCCAGGGTATCAACTTGGTGGAGACAGAGCTTTCAAGGGGTCCCTTACATCCTTTTTGCTGTGACAACTGAATTTTTATCTGACTCTGGCATAGTTTGGGTTTCCCAAAAAGCCCGGAGAAAAAGGACTTGGGTGCAGGTAGGTTATTTGGGAAGTGTCCCGGAAATCGGAGTGAGGTGGGGAGCAGGGAGATGAGAAAGGGAAAGAAAGCCAATATGAAATGTGTCCGTGCGTGGGCTGCTGTGGGAAACTGGGGGCAAAAGACCCACCTCAGAATTGTGCACTGATGGGCAAAAAGCTGGGTGCTGATTCACTAACCCCCTCCTGAGGGTGTGAGCCTTGTAAACAGGCCACGAACACCCTGGGGGTCCCAGGACAGCCTCAGACAGACACCGGAAGCTCTCAGCGTTCCCCAGAACCACCTGCTGGGGACGTCCCTCTAGGAAGTCAGCAGTCTCTGCTGTTGACATTGTTTGCAGGACTTTTCCCACATCGAAATGCTGTCCTGCTCAGCAAATGGGCATCTTGCTATTCTTGAAGACGACTCGGAGCCTCCCTAGTTCTGAGCTTACCTTGTGTTGACTTCCTTAAAAGGTACCCCTGAATCCATCAAGGCCCAGTGCAAAGTTCCTCAATAAACTGAGAAGCAGGTGAGGTGAGAAATGGAATCAGTGGACAGAAAATGAGCTTCAAACCTGCCTTCCCCAGTCAGGCCACAAGCCAAACTCAAAATGCTCAGTGGCCCCATCAGTCCAGGCCAGACCTGTCGTCAGCACCCTCTCCCGGAGGCTGCGTGGCTGTCAGGGTCTCAGGACCGCACAGGCCCTTTCTTTGATGCCTCTCTGTTCAGTGTCACTGAGACGGCCTGATTGGAGGCCCTGAGGTCAAGGCAGTATCAGGAGTACGGTTTCTTAAGTGCCATGTGTGAGACACCATCTGACACTGTTTATAGATCGACTTAGCCTCTTATTGACCACAGGACAGAAGTTAAAAGCATTGCTTTTGGAACTCAAATGTGTTAACTTCTAAAGTGATGTTTGAATTAGGGTTAAGAAAGGGCCCAGAGTTTTGATCTGCTGATTGGTGGGAAAGAAAAGAAAAAAAGAAAAGAAAAGAAAGGAAATTGACTAAAAAAATTTTTTTTTCCCAGAAAGGAAATCGAATTATTTTGACTAAAACCCAGAGACCTGTTTGTAATGAATCTCTCAGCTTTGGGGGTGACGTGAAATGGCTCCAGGATGTGTCTGAATTCTGCAGCTGCCTGAATGAGGCAGCTGATCTATTAAACATGACTGCTGGTTCTTGAAGTGGCTCCCAAAAGAGAGTAACCTCTTCAAGAGATCACGGCCAGATGAGTGAGAAGATGGCAAGTGGTAGGACCACGAGCTCGCCTCTCCTTGCAACTACAGCGGAACCACAACTGAATGCTAAACAACCATTGAAAAAAAGACTGGAACCTAGCAAAAAAGACCTTCTGCAACTGGAAACATAAAGAGGGAACCACAGCAGGACACAGGGAGAGCATGCTCGCGATATAATTGGGCCCCATACCCCCTAGGGGGGCAACCCACAAGCTGAAGATTTATTAAGTCGCAGAGGCCCTCCCACAGGAGTAAGAGCTCTAAGCCCCACATCAGGCTCCCCAGCTCAGGTCCCGGCATTGGCAAGAGAGGGAGACCCCAGGACATCTGGTTTTGGGGACAGAGGGGCTTGGCTCTGGGAGCCTCACAGGACTGGGGGAAACGGAGACTTCCATTCGCTTGGAAAGTGTACATGGAAACTCACGTGCACCAGGTCCAAAGGCAGAGGCAGTGATTTCATAGGAACCTGGGCCAGGCCTGCCTGCTGGATTTGGAGGGTCTCCTGGTGACCTGGGGGACGGCTGAGGCTCACCCATGGGACATAAAAGCTGGTGGTGGACATTCCAGGAGTGTTAACCTACATGAGATTTCCTGGAGGCTGACATCTTGATTGGATCACCAGCACCAAGACCCAGCCCCACCCAACAGCCTGTAGGGAAGCCTCAGGCCAAACAACACACAAGGTGGGAACACAGCCCCACCCATCAGCAGAACTCCTAAGCCACAGAGGCCTCTAGACACAGCCCTGCCCACCAGAGGTCCAGGACCAAGCTTCACCCAACAGTGGGCAGGCACCGGCTCTTCCTGCCAGGAAACCTGCATAAGCCTCTAGTCCAGCCTCATCCACCAAGGGCAGATACTAGAAATAAGAAAACAATAATCCCAAAGCCTGTGGGAGGAATCCACAAACACACAGAAAGATTGACGATATGAAACAGCAAAGGAATATCTCCCAGGCCAAGGCACAAGATAAAATCCCAGAAGAAGAGATCACGGCCAGAAAGGGGAGCATCCATTGGAAGCATCACTTAAACGTCAAACAGAGCAGCATCCCATGCCTAGAAGTTGCCCGTTAGTGGCGGGATATTCCCACAGCACAAAGACACAAACACTCCACAACTCACATTGTTAGAATTCAGCCCTCCTTCCCTGAAATGACTGTGGATTCATAACACAAAAGATTGGCAAATAAATTTAGTAAACTATGTGATTAAAATGTCTGTGATCTTTGTTGCATGGTGGGGTTGACAATTTTTTTTCACTTTTTCTTTCTTTCTTCTTAATTGGAGGTACTGGGAATTGAACCCAAGACCTCATGCATGCTAGGCACACACTCTACCGCCGAGCTATACCCACCCCCGCCCTGAAGTTGACAATTTTTAACTAATGTATTTCTTATCTACTTATGTGGGATAATGGGAAACAATGGCAATTAAGATAATTAGATATGAATAGGAAACAGCTCTTCTGATTAGAACCATTGACATCAATGTGTGTGGCGTGTTATGAGCTGGCATGGTCACACTTCTGCAGTGCTGTGATGATTCCTGCATTGGTGATGACCATGAGACATGACAAGTTCCCTTTTGTACTACGCAGAAAAGAGCAAAGGATGTTCAATAGGGTTTGAAAAGCTTACTAACCTCTATTGTCCCCTAATTCTTTTTAAATTAACCAAGTGAATTAAATATGAGTTAACTGTCTATTAAGCTCTATGTCTGATGAACCAAAGGCTCGCCAGAGAGGAGGTGACTATGGAATTGACCAGCCTGGTAATAAATAGACCAGAATCCTAAGAAAATAAATGAAATGATGTCTGTAAGTAAAAAATCCAGAAGGAAAAAGCTCTGTGTTAATATGAACTAGAAAGTATTTATAGGCAGGTTAAAGGATGTTTTAAAACCATTTGGACTCCATTCAGAATATTAAGAAGCAATAAAGACTTAAGTCTTTTAATAACCTCTGTGTTATGTGTAATGTGGGCACAGATATTTCACAGAATCAAGATGTTTGCTAAAGATGGTTTTGTAGTCTTCGTGTCTCTTATAAATCATGTCATTAAACTTGTTGCTCGTTTGGAACTCTAGAAATAAACAAATGAAACTTTCATGTAATTGTTGAATAAATACTTGTTGGATATCAACACTGGTGCCCTATCAAGATAGACATCTGAAGAAGTCCAAATATATCTTCCTTGGTGGGGGGGAACACTTTCCAGATGATCAGGTAAGGAACATGCCCAGATGGCCTAAGTGTGTTTGAGTTCATGTGTATAAGAGGCAGGGTAAGGGGTGAGGTGGTATGTGTGTGTGTGTATATATATATATATATATCATCATAGAAGGGACTAGAATTGATCATCTTTCAGGTCCCAGAACAATACAGTTCAAAAATTTAGAACATAGAGTTTGTATCTGTGAGGACTACATTCTCTGAGAGGCATTGGAAAGCCATTCATTGTTTACCCAAGAATTATTAATTGAGCATTTACTAAGTGCCAGGAAGTATTCTAAGTACTAGGATCACATTAGGGAACAAAGACAAGGTTCGTGCAGCTGGCGCTACAGTCAAAGCAAGTCTGAAAAACTTTTAGAAACAAGCAGGACCTCGCCCAAAAAAACCCAGCTTCCAAGAGTGGCAGGACAGGGCTGTAAAGAGAGGCATCTAGCCCGGAACAGAGACTACATTCCCACGTTGAGTGGCCCCCTCTCAGCTAATGCTTACTGCTAAATAAACAGAACCTCCCAGACCCTTGAATTACAACTTTACTGTGTCTGAGGAGAAAAGAAGGACTGAATTGAAAAAGAACAGCTCAAACCAGGATGGAGAGAGGGAAAGCTGGTTTGTACTGAGCTACCACATATAAATTGCCACAATCCCAAATGCTGTGTAACCAGTTCTTCTGTCTTAGGTGCTTTTAGATCACCTGGTGAATATCAACAGTGGCGCCCAACCTGGTTTACCAGGGCACCTATAGCTCCATGTGATCAATGGTAAAAGCAACAGCTCCCAGCTCAACTCTTCCAATGACATCTGAAATAGTTGTACTAGCTCAGGCGTTTTGCCCTGGCCACGTACCTGTTTCAGCTGTGGGGTGTTTTGAAGAGCCGTAAAGAGGGAGGTTGTTCTGGAGTGGAGTTCACTTGATCACCCTCAGCATTCAGTTCCTATGTCTCTAATTGAGCTAACATACCAAATCCTGTCTTAAACAGATATATGTTCCCCGCCAAATTACCTCTTTGGAAGCCACAATCTATTTAGGATCACACAAGAAAAGTGGCATTTGTCAAATAAAAAAAATGTAAAAAAAAAATACCTTGATTACCATCTCGCCGGCGTAAATGGTATAACTATGGAATTTTTCCATCTTGATCTGCTTTGGGGTTGGCTAGTCAGGGTATTAATTCACTTTTCATTTGCTTAACTTCCAAGGCAGCTTTTAGTCATCCTGATTGCCTGTCTTCTCCAGAGGAGATTAAAAAAGAAAAACAAAAAAGTGGTCAGAAAGAGCATAGACTTGGTTGAGGGCTTTTTGCAGATCTGCTGATGGTTATGTGGAGCTGCTTAAACTGGGGATTTGTATGTAAACTTGCACTCATAGTAATGAACACACGGGGAGAAAGAGAGCAGAGAAGACGAGGCCATCCTTGCATGTTTTACTCTAAGGAAGACCAAGAATGTCCACCTTGCCGGAAGGGAGGGGGATGGATGAAATAAGTGATAGGGATTGAGGTACAAATCTACAGTTATATAGTAAACATTCATGGGGGTGGGTAACATGCAGCCTGAGGAATGTGGTCAGTAATATTGTACTAATTTTATATAAAGACAGATGTTTACTCGATTTACCATAGTGATCATTTCGTAATGTACATAAATATCAAACCATTACGCAGTACACCTGAAACTAATGATATTGTATGTCAAGTATATTTCAATTTAAAAAGAGAGAGAGAGAAAAGAGGAGAAAAAGAGAAAGATAAAATAACAAATGTTTACAGAGTGACTGCCCCATGAGTGGAGCGTCGGCAACGGCTGGAAAGTTTTGAAGGCAGGAATACACGTGTATCAGAATACACGTCTGTACTCAGCAGTCCACTGGGGCCCTCACAGTGGGTGGCGAAAATTGACAAAGAGCCTGAGTCACAGGATAGAGTTTGTCTCCAGTCCTACATGAGTTGTCTTGAGTGCGTGGGTTTCAGCTGCATAGTTTGACAGAAACCAAAAGCTACCAGCACTCCAACCCAACAGGAAAGACACACAAGCCCGCAGACTCCAGCTCTCCCACGCAAACATTACTTTCCCCATCTCTCTGCAAACAGCTTCGCATTCAGGCAAGTGAGGCTTTCCCGCATCTCCGCTCGTGTGTGGCCCCGCACACCTGTCGTTATTCAACTCAGTTGACCAAGAAGCCACAGAACATTTTACAAGCAGAGAGCGAGACATTTTATCAATGGGAACGTTGAAGTGCTTCTCCTCGTTTAGCTAGAAGAACAGGACGGCTCTGTATACAAGACTAGCTGGGAACCCACGCAAATTTCCAATCAACACCTGCCTTTGAAAATTCACAGGGTCTCTTGTCAACAGTCCAGTTCACAGGGTATCCAATTCCCACTTACCGTTTTGACATCTAATAAGTAGCCAGAAAGACAATCCGTCAGGACTCTTAACCACTGTGAAGGGGAGGAGGAACCACGTGCAGGTAGCTCTTAACCTTGCTCTTAAAGGTCATTGGGAATTTTCCTATTACATCTTCCAAAACATCGCTGAGGTGATGATGGTTCTACTGGAAAAAAAAAATTCTTTTCTGCTTTTGAACTGTAATAGAAGATAAGTTTTCCCGGTGTCATGACGATTGCCCAAGAGAAATGATTATCCTTCTATAAGAACACCTTGTATCTATGCAACATCTCCGCCTTCCAAATGCTAAAAGAGCTTTCATGAAGCACTAGCCGTGTCCATCACTTCCATCCTCCCTGAGTAGACTGAGGCATGCGTGTAATCTTCATGTGCAGGACAGGAAAATGGAGACCCTCAGAGGTGAGGTCAACCCTCAGACGTTGCACAATCCCATTAATGATGAGGGAGGCCCGGAACTTTCTGCCTTCGTTTCCTGGGCTGCTTTCTCTTCTTCTACCGAGATGCCGAAACATAAATCAATTCTTCCGACACTGCTCTGAAATGAAGAAGAATAATGTTTACTTAAGGCAGAAAAAATATTTCACTCTCTTATCATCTCATAACAATACATACTGTCTAAGGGCCTTAAAAACATGTCCAGACCCTTTATTTCTGTAAGTAACAGTTCCAACTTGAAGGATCAGAGCAGAAAAGGTGGAAATGAGAGTTTCAAGAGTATTACCCCCAGCCTCACTGAACAAGGCCACCAAAGCATAGAACATCAATTAGAATTCAAGCACCACAGCAGATATTCCGTGTCTGCTTTCCCTTACAGGTCCTACATCAACCTGTAAGGAAGGGGATAGCATCCCCACTTCAGAGACGAGGAAAGTGGGACTTGGGAGGTTAAGCAACTTGTACAAGGACCTCAGCCAGGAAGTGACAAACTCGAGGCAGTCTCACAAGGGAGTTAATCTGCTACCCCTAGATGTCCTTAAAAAGGAATCTGAGTAACACAGAATGAGGGGTCCCAGATAAGTGACCTTGAGTCCATATATTAAATTTAATCATAAAATATTACTGATATTCACCTCTTTTTGACCTACAAAAATGGATAATTCATATGATTTGAACTATTACTCTGGGGGTCCCTGAGATGTACTGGGGGGAAAAAGTCTCAAAAGTATTAATACTAAGGGTAAAGTCAGACAGTGCCTTTGGAAGCATAACCGAGGACTTGAGATGAAAGAGGCAGGCTGGATGGAGAATTGTAATTCAGAAAATTCCCTAGTTCATAAGAAGCTTAGTGAGAAAGGGTGTGTTCCCACCACTGGAGCAGAAACTTCCTTTCCCAAGCCCTTCTAGGATTTTGCTCTGCCCATTCATCTCTTCTGATCAAATTCATCCTTTAGGTAAACACGGGAGGGATTAGAGACCTTTAATTGGCTTTGAGGGAAAAAAAATGGTAATCTGAGATGCCTGGGCAGGAACTATCTTGTGTCTTGTGGGAGAGAAGCGGGGAGAGAAAGAGAAAAGGAAATATCTGCAGCCTGACAGGCTGTTCCCAGCCAGAGCGGAGAGCATTCAAGAACAGGCAAGACGGTCAAGCCATGCACCCAAATTTGGCTGTGAGCTGCAGGCGTGCCATCTTGGATTTCTTCTTCTGCTCAGCTCTTCCTGTGTGAAGTGGGGAAGTTCAGCATCATCCCAGAGTCCAGCTCAGTGGTTTTCACACTTTTGCCTGGTATCAATATCACCTAAAGCCTTGAGCGGTGGGTAGGGGGACCCATCCCCAGAGATTTTGATTGGGTAGATTTCTAGTAGGTCCTAACAAGTTCCCAGGTGATGTTGACACTGCTGGTTCAAGGAATACACTTTAGAAACCACTGTCCTCACTCCCAGCTATACAACGGCATTACATCTTCCTGCCACGCAATTTCCTGGGCCACGTCTGCACACACAGAAGACACACGGGATCCAGGGAGGAGAAACCACAGTGATGATGCTGTCTGAGGGTTGAGACAATGGGTGCTATAAAGTGTTATACATTTTCTACAAAGTTTGTACCTTTGGTGCAAGCCAAGTTGTAACACAAATGACGCACTGAGATTCTTATTCCTGATAACAGCTAACAGCCATTAACTAGCTCGTATGTGCCAGGCTGTATGTCAAGTCTCTACCCATATTATCTTTGAGATAAGTGTACTATTATCACTCCTGTTTTATAAATGCAGACTCTGAGCCTCACTGGGTTAATTCCGTGGTCACTCAGAGAACAGAGGAGCTGGGTCTAGAATCCATGACTCTGACTTAACTGCTATACACAGTACTTCCTGAACTCAGAAACATTAAATCAGGAAAAGAGACATCCAAATCCAGTGCTCTTTGGTAAAGGCATAAATATGGGTGAATGGGAGGCCATAGCTCTTTCTTCACTCTGCTTTTTCACGTCTTCTCCGGGTAAGACAAGCATTCTCCTGACCACCCCCATTTCCTCCTCGACCTTACCTACTAACACACTGGAAAACGCCCCCTGTGTTAAAGGGCAGGAGATTGGAGCAGGGGGTGCCTGCTACCAGAACTGGTGTCTTAGGTTTACTTATCTTTCTTTGTCGAAATAAATGCCTAATTCCTTGCGGGAACATCACCTGGCTTTGGGGGACTCTGGCCCCGGAAACGTTATGATGGTTTGGGACTCCAAAGGGAGTGGATTGCAAGGGGTGGGACACCTTCTTGATTTTATGACACCCAATTCTTGCATTGTCTATCTCATCTCTTTGATGTTGTGGGGGGGGGCAGGAGGCAGGAGATTGGAGCTGCAGAGATACCAGGCTCTTATCTGAACGGAGATTGATTTCATTGTTACTGCTGTGGCTTTGATATACTACTTACCTAGTCTCAAAACTTGCTCCTTCACCCTGATGTTTCTATTTTATAGCTCTATCCAGGACCTGGCATCAGAGAGGTGACTGGCCTAGAACGACAAGCTTCTAAAGTAGGAGCTGACAGAGCTCCCTTCTCAATGCAAAAATGCTGAGCTTCTCCTAGGAGTTGGGCATCTGGCGTGCAAAGCCAGGTGTGACCTCATGGACCATTTCATAGGCTAGGAATCTTCAGAAGCACTGGCCACACAATGGCCAATCGTTACAGGGTCACGGAAGATGGATATTCTCATCTCCTTCGGTCCTGACTCACCTCTTTGTTTTACTGCACGAAAGGACACAGGGGTGTGGCCGCATATCTGCTTCCCATCTGACTTTCCATCCTCCTTTCCCTAGTGAGTAATCAGGCGATGCGTTTGGCTCAAACCAATTGCCCTTTGTTCTAAGCATTTCCAAACCTGTTCAGATATTTCCACATTAAAATATTACATACCCTTTGACCTAGCAATAGCATTTCTAGATATTTACTCTACAGATAAACTTGCACATGTGCAAAATGAGATATAGGAGGATTGCCTGGAACAGCAAAATCCTGGAAACCGCCTAATACACCTGACCTCTCATTAAGTAACCAGATAAATAAATTATAGGTAATACATACCATGAAAAATATGCAACCATTATGAAGAATGAAACAATCTAACCTGATGTGAAGCAAATCACCAAAATGTACTATTAGAAGAAAAAGAGGAAAATAGAGAATATTATATATAATGTGCCACTATTTGGGAGGAAAATGAGAAAAGTGTATAAGTATACATATATACATATATGTATTTGTGTGTATTTGCATATGTATAAATGTATATGATGGAAACAGAATGTGTTTGCAGAATATCTCTGGAAATTACCATAAGAAACTAGTAATGTTGCTAGTTGCTTCAGGATAGATATGAGATAATATGACCTAAATGTAGCTGGTACTGACTCATCCTTCCTGAGAGACCTTGAAATTGATTTTGGACATTATCCCATGCAGCCAGAAGTAGATTTCAAATGGAAAGATAATGATATGGAACAAATTCATGTTGATCCTTGCCTCCTTCCTGCCACAAATGGGAGATCCCCCACCCACCCAGGCTCCAGGGACACTATTGACATATACACCATCCACTTTGGTTTTCATTAAACCCCCCCCCTTAATATTCTACAGCGCAATTTTCCTAGAGAAACTGCTGGCTTTTAAAAAGAGAATAACAGAGATGTAGACACAGTAAAGCAAAAATGCAAAGTCCCAGAGGACACTAGGATGTGCTTACAAAAGTTCACAGTACCATTACATGAATGTAGTCGCATGAAATGAACATTCAAGAGCCACATTTCCTAAAATACAGGGTCATTAGAGACCTTGAACTATGGTGAATAAAATCTTCAGAAAAATATAGGAATATATGATATTTTCTCTAAATAAAGTGATATTTCTCAAAACATGCTTCTGAAATCGTACGTGCTCTCCACGGATGCTCTACGTCCATGTGTTCAATCCCAGCCCTTGTGTAGGTCCCTTCATGTTTTTCACCGTTCACCCGCCAGGCACACCCTGGTAACACCGCCTGCTGAACTCAGTGGGCATCGGGACCACGACTCTTTCAGAACCAGAAGAGAAATTAGAGATTGCTACTCAGGGAGGTGATGGGATTTGCCCGGGGTCCTATCATTTTGTTAGATGCAGAATCTTTGATTCTTTCCCTGCAAAAACTTCTACTAGTCTCTCTCTACTGGCTCTTTTACTCCAGCATAAAAAGTCACATTTCCCTTTTACTTCTCCCCCATCTATATATACCCTACGCCTTCCTTTAAGCTACTGTCTTCTGTGTCTTCTCTCCAACAAGCTCCTGGATGGTGTCCCCTCCACTCACTGTCTCCTCTTCCTCTTCCAGTCTCCTTGACCCTGTTATCAAGCCTCGTCCCGCACCTGATGCATAGAAAGTTCTCTCCCTAAGGGTGACCTGTGACTGGCAAAACTTATAATAAAGCCATTTTGGTCCTTATCATAAGATGTCTCTGCCTACATGATACCCTTAACACCTGCTCCCTCGCCATCTTCCATGAATGCCCTCTCTCCTGGTTTTCCTTCTACTTTTCTTACTGCTTCCTCTCAGTCTCTCCTTGGCAGAATCCTCTTCCTAAGCCCAGTCTCGAAATGCTTGTTCTCTGTAGCTGTCTGGCCTCACTTTACACGTTTTCCTGGATTCATCTGTTTATTCGCTCTATTACCACCTATGTACCAATAACTTCTAAATGTCTTATCTTCCACTTCAGTTTCTCCAATGATCTGGAACCCAACCTCCAACTTCTTATATCATCACTTAGATGTCCCTCAGGCACTTCAGACTCCACATGTATGAAAATCTGAATGCAGCATCTTTTTTCTCCCCTAAAACAACTAGTAGTTCCCCTGTTTTAGTGAACAGTAACGTCACCCTCCTGGTGATATGGGGGAAGTCTTAGTGTCACCCTTAACTGAGGCTTCCTCTTAAGCCTCGTATCCCATCAGTCACCAGGTCTTAATGCTTCCATCTGTGAAACACACTTCTAACCTATACAATTTTCTCTATTCTCAGGACCATTATCTTAATTCAGGTTGTTATTTCCACTCAGTATTCTGTTACAG